CCCCCGCTGCAGCCACCTGCTCGGGGGCCAGCGTGGGTCTGCGGGGTTTTGAGCTTCACCCGTGGGAAACCACCCCCCCCCCCGGCTCTTTGCCACTCGAGACGCTCCCGGCTTAGTGGGCACAAGAGAATTCCCGAAGGGCATCGCCCGGCTCGCGGCCCGTCGGCTTCTGCCGTCGCGTTTGCGATACCGTCAAGAGTTTTGAACCCTCCGGTGTGAAAAACTGTTTATTCCCACTTTTTTATTGCCTGTGTTTTTACCAGCTATTGATTTTTACCGGTTACCAGCCCATAAGAAGGTATTCCGTTTTATTCTGCTGCTGTCTCGCCGCACATGGCATAAGGAGGAGAGGTGATGCTCCGGGATGTGTGGCTTTCCTGGTCTCTTTTTTTTCCCCTTCCTCAGCCCCGTGGCTCCTTCCCGCTTCCTCCGAAAGCGAGAAGGAGGCACCGGGGTCTGCGGTGTATAAAAACGGTAGGGGAGAAGGCAGGAAAAAGGTGCGGGTAAATGATGGGCATAGATGAGGAGGGAAAGTCGGAGGCCTAAAACCAGTCTACGGCAAGGGAAATAACGGGAAATCAGGTACGGGAATTGCTTTAGCCCCCACAGGTAGATATCGATGGAGAGAATTAATCTGTTTTTCCAGCAGTGCTTTCCCAGAGTGCTGAGGTTGTACCCCAGGCTCCTACGAGCCTTGCTCAAGCCAGCCACCTCCTGCCTCCACATGGGTTGGCAGTTGGACCAGGTGATCGTTGTAGGTCCCTTCCAACTGAAATTATTCTATTCTGTTCTGTTCTATTCTGTTTTCTCGTAGCTCTCGTACACGCAGCAGGTTGTGGCTGGGGACTGCTGCTCTTCTCCTCTTGGGGATCGTTCCCAGAACCTCATTTCTGACTCTGCAGAATGAATACGTATTCTGGCAGCTATTTGAGCACCTCCTGTTTTAGGAGGCTGGAGATGATGCTAACTGCTTCTCCCCAGGGAGTGTGGGTTTGAGCGGAGTGTCCTGGGGACGCGGCCTCTCCCGCAGCTGCGTGGTCCCTCTCGAGGAGCAGCATCCTGACAGCAGTGGCCTAAAAAAGAAAGGACAGAGGTTTCTCAGCTCCTGGCCCATGACCGGACTTACTCCTGCAGGAAATGAATCAGCTAAGCCTCATCACCAAACGCTTCATTGTTTTAAAAAAAATCTGGTGCCAACAAAACCCTGCCAGACCATCGGTCACTGCGATGTCTTCTCATTCTTTCTCCTGTGCCTTTGCATTCAGCTGTTGCCTCTTGCCATTGTAGAGCTGCGGCGAGTGGGGACGTGTCCTCCTTTTGTCTGTGCAACGCCAGGCTCCGGGAGGGGGGTCCTGCTCTTCGCCTCTGGCTTCCAAGAATGACAGTAGCGGTGAGAATAGCTTAGCAACAGCAAGGAAGAAGCGCTTCAAAATAATTCTTGGCTGCTTCGGCCAAAAGGCGATGATAGTCCGGGGAGATGCTCAGGAACTGTTGTGATAGGCGTCGTATCAGTGCAAAGAGCGCGGCTCTGCGCTGACCTCTCTGTAACCCTAACGGCCTGGGGGGAAGAAGGCTCCCACCCAGCGCTGCTTGGAAAATAACAGTTCGTTAAGCCCAATAATTTTAAGGAGAAATTCCTAGTTTTGATTAGTTTTTCACTGGGAGAGATTTCATGGCTCCCAGATGGAATTCCTGGATATTGTAATAAGTAATAAATAATAAACCGGGGTGAATAATCTACCTTAAAAGAGCTGGCAGCTCAATATTTACAGCACTTGTAGGGATGCCGGAGGCTTTATCCCAGCAGCTGGTCTGAGCAGGGCAATGCCCAGGGAGATAGTGGCTGTTCTTGGCCGCGTCTTTCTGGTGCTCTTAATTCTCTCCATCCCCGCTGTGATTTCCTAAAAATCTCAGTTCAGTCCAGAAGTAGAACAGGAATGTTTTTGAAATCATGAGTATTTTTACAGGAAATAGAAAAATGTCCCACTCGGCTGTAGTCACAAGCTCTTTGCAGGTGGGTGCTGGGTGGCTGAGGCCAAGACTGGTTTCTTCTTCAGCACCAAACGTGGTGAGTCAGAGCAGAGCCAGGAGATGTGGAGGCAGAAAGGACATGAGAGGCGTTAAGCTTCTTTCTTAGTAGCAAAAAGCTAAAATCAGTATGGTATGTAAATTAATATGCCAAAATATTTAAGGGTCTGGAGTCTGCTGGTGATCTTGGGGAAGGATTAGACAGGTTTTTCAGCAGCAGCATTTAATTTGAGAGGTTTCCATGTCCATGCATCTGGCAATGATTGACCCTTTCAATGCCATTTCCATATGAGCAGAACATCTCAGACCTGGGTTATGGTCAGCGTCTTCTGCAGGGGCTCGGCATCTCTGATAGAAATAGATAGGCTGTCACCGTCCTGCTCAAGGAGACTGAAGTCAGGAGCCTTTTGCAAAATGATTGCCTTTAATGCTTCTATTGCCCCGTCTTTAAAATTAGCACGCTGACACTTCCTTTCCTTGCAGAAATTGCAGCGAGAAGTATGAATGAACCGCACCATCAAAGAGCTGAGCATTAAGGAAAAAGGGAAAATCCTTCAGCATTGCACGACCTCTTTAAAGACCTGCAGAGGCAGAGTAATTCTGGTGTGAGCGACTCTGGAGATCAGAGGGAAAATAAACAGCAGCCTTTTGCATGAACGGCACTGCCGACATTGCATCCCACATTCTCCCAGGGGTGACCTGCCGTGGAAAGAGCAGCAGAGGGAGGGTTTTGCTGCCCAGGACAGGGTACCACCACCTCGGTGAGTGGCTGTAGGAGGGATTTGCACAGTATTCCCGTGGCTAAGATTGCATCCCGTTGCATTCACATCACTAGGAATGCGTAAGTGGAGCACTCGGCCCGAGTGAGCCCTCCTGATGGGGAAAAATTGTGGCTCTTGGGTTCGTGGGGTGCTTGTTGCTGAAAGCAATGGCACAGGAACAAGAGTAAAAAATGTTTCGCTTAAGGATTGCTCATTTGCGCAAGCCAAAGATTGATTTCATTGCTTTAGGTCGGCTATTCGGTGTCAGGGAGTGATTATTGCTATTCTGCAAATTTGTAATTCCACATATAGAAACTTGAGAGTGTTTTACACACCCTCCATTCTTCCTGCCTGTTTTTTTTTCTATTTTCATTCCTTTTCTCCAATGAAAGAGGGAGTATGATTTGCAGGATAGAAGGAGGAGGGGAGAGAAAGGGATTGTTCTTTTTTTTTTTTAGTTATAAAACAGTTTTTCTTTTCAATTATAAAACACAGCCTAGGCAGTAGAATTTAATGGGATTGGTGTTAGTTTCCCTCTTGGCTCCTTCTGCCTAATTTGTTTCTGAGATGATGAGGGAGGAGGGGTAGAGATGGGGCTGGAGAACAAACCGAGAAGAGGGAAGGGCTGCTCGGATGGCAGCAACCTCAGGGTGCACGGAGCTGGGGCGAAGACCGTGGGAGGACCCCTGCACTGGATGGGTCTGCAGGGCTGACTGTACCCCAAAGGGTCTGCGGTCCTGGAGAGGCAGCTCCCTGGTGAAATAACATCCTGGGTTAATCTTTGCGTCACCTTGCTCAGCCCAGGATCTCTTGGTTTGTCATCATCCCATCACGCCGCTGATTATTTTCTACTTAGTGCTTAGTGCAGAGGGCGGAGATATTACTTGCGTGGCACAGTTTCTGCTCTGGATATTTTTGTTCTGTGAGCATCAAACTGGGGCGAAAACAGGCCACGGTGTCTTTGTTTCGCAGCCGTTCCTTATCCTGCAAAGTCTCTCCTCCCCTCCTCAGCCTTTCAAATACAGCCCCTCTATGAACGTGCTTTATAGGACCAATACTTCATATTCCTTTGCTTACAGAAGTGGCTAATCTCCATCAGGTTATGAAATCAGCTCACATGCTTCAGTGGCATTACTTACTGTTGATATCCCCCTTCGATCCCCGTTGAGCTCTCTTTGTTGGAGGTAACCCCTTCTCCTACTTCTTCTAAGCTCATTTCTTAGGCCACATCATTCAAGTCCCACATCCCCATGGTATTTAGATGTAGTAAAAATGACTGGAGGGAAAATAAATGGCAGCCAGCGAGCCAACTAAACTGTCTGGCTATTAATGGTCCTGTTAGTTGCAAATTTACTTTACCACAAAGCCCCCAGCATGTAATCCTTAGATGAATGCCTTTGATTGTGAGGGAATATTTACAGCTGACCCTGCCAGCAGTCTGCAAACCTGCAATGGGCCTCCTATCCCACATTAAATCCGCTGGCATCTGTTCCTGGGTTCTTATCAAGCACATGCTCTGTTGGTGCAGTGTTTGGGCCGTAGCGCTCGCGGATACGGTGGGCCTTGAAGAATAAATCCCTGCATTCCTGTGAAACGCTAATTCTTGTGAATGTTGTCACACAGGGAGGAACGTTACAGTTTGTACCTGCCTCCGGGCATCGCCATCCACAAGGGAGGTTTCCAGAAGGCTTTGATCCCCACCGGCCGCCCCCTCCCCATGGCAGGACCCCAGTCTTGCTGCTGGACCACCCTTCACCAAGGACAAACTTCTTCTTGGCCACTCTTTGTTGTGCCGCTTTCCCAGACGTGCCTGAGCGACACGAAGTGATTTCTATGATGGGGGTTTTTAATCTCTTTTTTGCCCC